GGAAACCGCTGTCAAGGGCTCAGAACAAGAAATCGTTATTGTGCCGCAGGAGATCGCGCTGTGGCCTGGTTTCCTCTCCCGGTAGGGCTGGGAGCGGCTACGCTCCTTATCTGGGATTAGGTTTGTTATTTTGGGGAGGAATGTCTGTCTAATCCCAGACTGTCTCCCCCAGTCCAACAGGAAGTGCAGCTCTGTCCCCCTCTGCCTCGCTCTCCGAGTTCCTGCACAGGGGTGCAGCCCAGGGCCAAGTGTCTAACAACGGAGGAGGAGGAGGAGGCAGGAATCGTGAACTGTCGCGCGCGAAGGTGCCCTGTGCTGCCACGTGCGCGTCCGAGGGCAGACGGCTGCCTCTTTCCTCCACCCCCATCCCGCTTCCCGAATGAACATGGAATCCAGAGGGAAAGGGCCGTTTCGTGTGGGACTGCTCTCACTCCTGCCCGCAGCAGGCAGGTTCCGATCTGGCCGACACCGGGAGGCCCGCACTCGCTGCCACGGAGCCCGGCCTGCCCTCTGAGTGACCCCCTGACCGCTCGGCGCTCCCCCTTCCTCTGCGAAAGAGTGGCTCGGTCACCCCGGGGCCACGCGCTGACCCCCTCCCGCACTCTTCAGTCTGGCACTGAGCCCCAACTCGGGCCGCAGGCCACAGCAGCCCTGAGCCACAGCGCCCTCTTCTGGCCAAGCCTTGTCCGTGCACGCCTGTGGTGCGAGGCGCAGAAGTTGGGTAATTCAGTGCACGAAAATAGTGATTTCAATCCCCAAGAATCACCAAGTGCTCCAAATACAGAGCCTGTCTCCCAGTCTGCCCCTGCCCCCTCTCTCTGTCTCTGTCTCAGGCAGCTCTTGTCTCATGCAGTTCACGTCAAATCAATTCGATTCCATTCCATTCCAAGTGCTTTATTGGCATACCTGATCAACGACAGTACTGCCAAAACATAAGAACAGCTCACAGTTATATTCTTGATGAGGAATTAACAATTACAGCTTTCAGGGCAAACAAGTCTGCTAAGAACATTCAGAAGGAATGTCACATCTAATGTTTGGCCACAAGGAGAAAATAAATAGGAATAAATTTACATTAGAATCATCATGTGATCATCTTCATGTAAAGGAAAATAATTCAGAAACTCATGCTCTCCTCCTCTCCTCCCTCTGTCTCCTTCAGCTCATCTCTCTCCTGACTCTCCTCTCCTCCCTCTGTCTCCTTCAGCTCATCTCTCTC